CCAGATGGTGAGACTGCCCCGTCACCAGTGGTTAACCAGTTATAATGGATGCTACTTGCTTATTTTTCCAAATAATTAGAACACAAATGTTGGAAACTAACACCTAAATACATCGAGCATAATATATCTCAATGAGAGCGTTCAGAACAAACTGAGGGGCCGGGAGTGCCTGAAAGTCATACTTTTTAAAAAATAATATTTTATTGTGTTTTAGGTGAACGTTTACACAGTAAGTTAGGTTCCCATTTAACAATTTTTATACAAACTGTTCCATGACATTGGTTACATTTTTTACCATGTGTCAGCATCCTCATTTTTCCATTCTGTTTGTCCTGTTTCCATGAATCTAACTTCCCTGCCCCTCCTTACCTTCTCGTCTTTGCTTTAGGGTAAATGTTGACAAAAAGAAAAATAAGAACAAAGACCTTTCCCATCAAGGGTGCCACATCTTTTGGGCTCCTGTCCTATTCCTCTGTTCCTTATTCTTCCATTCGTGTGGGACGAGTAATCTATAACTCCTAACTTACCTGGCAAACTCTGACGACACCTTTGTGAAAGTATCAGACTCAAGATTTATAACAATGAAAAATACAGTGATTGACATTAAATGATGCTGAGGGCGTTTGGAAATCCTTACGTTCATTTCTAGTTGCTTCCTTACTACCCGTGCTGCCCACAGCAGCATTTGGAACACTTTTTCACTCTCCAAAACATGTCAGCGTTGACTCCAGCTTTGCTGAGCTCAAGGCCATCTGGTGTGGGCTTTTTTATAATCCAACTCTACCCCACATGTCCCTGTTTCCTGGCTCCTCTCCTCCTTCCTTGCTCAGAGACAGAGTCTGAAGTGCAGACTTTCTCCTGTAGCATCTTGTTCTGAATGGTCTCCTTTCTCCCTGTCTCTTACATAGCGTTCTTCACATGTACAATTCATTGACATTAATTATGTTCCTCATGTTGTTCAACCATCAACCTTCACAGAAGCTCTGTATCCCCTGAGCAGTGAGTCCCCATTCCCCTCTCTCCCCGCCGCCCATCCCTGGTAAGCATCAAAAATCTTTGATCTCTATATACTTGCCTATTCTAGATATTTCATATCAGTGGGATCATACAATATTTGTTCCTTTTTGTGTCTGGCTTATTTCACCCAGCATAATGTTTTCAGGGTTCATCCATGTCCTAGCAGGTATCAGGACCTCATTCTCTTTATGGCTGCGTAGTATTCCATTGGGTGTCTATACCAGATTTTGGTTAGCCACTCATTTGTTGATGGATATTTAGATTGTTTCCATCTTTTGGCTATTGTGAACAGTGCTGCAATGAACATTGGTGTACAAGTTTCTGTTTATGTTCCTGCTTTTAATTCTTTGGGGTGCATGCCTAGAAGTGGAATTGCTGGATCATATGGTAAATGTATGTTTAACTTTTTGAGGAACCACCAAACTGTTTTCCACAGTGCCTGTACCATTTTACAGTCCCACCAGCAGTGGACGAAGGTTCCCATTTCTCCACATTGTTGCCAGCACCTGTTGTTCTGTTTTTTTTGTTTGTTTGTTTGTTTTTTGTTTTTTTAATTATAGCCATCTTTGTGGATGTGAAGTGTTATCTCACTGTAGTTTTGATTTTCATCTAATAACTAATGAAGAAGCCCTGGTGGTGCAGTGGTTAAGCACTGGGCCACTAACCAAAAGGTCATCAGTTCAAACCCACCAGCCGCTCCACTGGAGAAAGATGTGGAAGTCTGCTTCCGTAAAGATGACAGCCTTGGAAACTCTATGGGGCAGTTCTCCTCTGTCCTATAGGGTCACTGTGAGTCAGAATCGACTCAGTGGCAAGGGGTTTGATAAGTATGACGTGGAACATCTTTACATGGTCTCCCTTCTCTCTAACCCATTAGTTTTTTTCTTCCTCATTGGTTCCTTCCCCTCAAAGCAAATAGGACAGGATTTCCAAACCCCACGGATCACCCAGCTGAGGTGAGAGAGTCCAGCACTGCAGGTGAGCCAGTCAGCATGGTTATGTACTTGCTGTGGGAAAGCTCTAACAAGAGCAGGAGGGAGGAGCTTCCTGGAGAGAAACAAGAGCCTAGGGGCCTGAGTGGGCTCTGGGACCTGAGAGAAATGCCTCCTTTTCTCTGCCCAGCTCCTTTCCTTCCCATCAGGCATTGTTCCCTTCCCTTCCATCAGGCACAGCTCCCTTCCTTCCCATCAGGCACGGCTCCTTTCCCTCCCATCAGGCACAGCTTCCTTCCCTCCCATCAAGCATTGCTCCTTTCCCTCCCATCAGGCATGGCTCCTTTCCCTCCCATCAACCATTGCTCCTTTCCCTTCCATCAGGCACAGTTCCCTTTCCTCCCATCAAGCATTGCTCGCTTCCCTCCCATCAGGCTTTGTTCCCTTCTCTCCCATTGGATATTGCTTCCTTCTCTCTCCTCAATTATTTGGGGTTACAAGGAAGATTAGAATTGAAAAAAGTTCTATGGCTTCAAAGAAACAACGAAAACTACCTGTTCCTTCAAAATTAGATGCTAGGGGTTTACTGAGATGGATGCGGGGAGGCCAGGATCAGCCAAAGGGTCACACATGGCCTCTTTCAGTTCTAACGCAGCAGGAGGAAAACTCGGGTTCTGGGGACTCAGCTCTCTCTACACATCCTTGCCCAAATCACAATTAGGGAGGCCTTTCCTGAACTTGGAGAGGGCCGAGGACATTGAATATGCTATTGAGGCACCAGTGACAGTGATCTCAACCACATCCAAGAGTGGAAAAATCTAAAACCAAAATACAAATCAATAAGCTTGGGCTTGGTGCCAAACAGTGCTGGCAGAATATTAAAATTTCTTCTCTGACGTGAGAATATGCAAAAGGGATTATGTAATCAAGGTCACAGAGGTCGTGCAAGAAAGAAATGTGCTCATGAAAAAAATGTTTCTTTTATTAAATAAGATCATGAAATTGAAAGCAATTAGCGATTAATAATTACCTGACACTTTTATAGTTTCCTGGCACTTACTAATTATCTCCCATCACCAATGTGCTAATATTGTACTAATCGTTAAAGCCGACCCAGCAAGACATTTCTTTGGAAACCCTTTTGTAAGGGTGGTGCACATGGTTAACGCTCTCAGCTGCTAAGGAAAGGATAGAGTTTCCAGTCCACCCAGAGGTGCCTTGGAAGAAAGGCCTGGTGATCTACTTTTGAAAAATCGGCCATTGAAAACCCTCTGGAGCACAGTTCTGCTGCGACACACGAGTCAGGACATCATGAGTCAGGGCTGACTTGAAAGCCACTGGTTTTTTGGTTTGTAAGTCATTTATTTTCTTAATATACGAGCTTTTGAGTGGCAAAAGGGCATTTCTTAGAGTTCAGATTACTTCCCAATGCAGCTGACCTTCCCCAAATCACTAAGACTTATGACATTTCCCTGAACCAAACACTGATCCACAAACAAAGGCTCTTGTAGAAAACAAGATGCCTAGAAATACATTTCTTCTCCCACCCACTTCAAGAGTGTTCACTGCTGCTGAGGTGCTGAAGCCCCAAGGACATTTATTGTTTGAGCGTATCATCTGTCAGCTAAGAACGACATGGACTGGGGAGGCCAGGCCTGCTGTTTCCCCAAGTTTTGGTCCAATCTCTTTCCTTCTCACCTCTACTCACACTCCCCACTCCCCCAGCACGCCATGCTGGAAATGGCCTTAGTTGGGATGAACCTGCCCTCTGTGATCCGTGTGCCTCCAATTCTAAATAAAGGTGTCACAAACGTGCGGACCAAGGCAGCGTCTGCACCACAACTGTGTTTTGCTAGATGTACACAGTGTTTTGGATAAACTTAAATTCGGATGCCGGTACAAGAAGGAATTGGTCTCTACTTTACCCCAGTCCCCACTACTCTCTATTAACCCGGCTGGAGTTGATTTGGCTTAGTAGAAGCTAAGTAAAAGCCATATCCTGTTTCCTGTGGCCATGGCCTTTAATCCTTGCACACTGATGCAGGTGCCTAGCCCAGGCAGGGCCAATGGGAGCCCAGGTCTGAATTAATATCGTGGCCACTTGGGCTCATTCAGTCCCAGGTAGCCTCACTGCCATGGTGCTCGGCCAGTTCTAATGCGGCAGCTCCAGGATGAGGTAACCGAGGGTTGTTCTTGTGTCTCCGTGAAAGCTTACCCACTGTGTATACTGATTTGATTAAATGTTCAGGAAAACAAAAATAAGGAAAAATACTTTGGCCTCTTTAAGAAAACTCAGTATTGAACAGGTTAAAAATAGCTGGTATCCTGCTATGCCGTTTTACGTAAATTTTTTTTTCTGTACTTTGAGACTGTTAGAGCAGCTCTGATTTTCAAAGCTGGAAGGAGGGATTAAATTTTTAGCTTCCCAGGAACTCTACTGATTAGGGGATAAGGTAGGCTTTTTTTTTTTTTCCTCTCTCAGTTTTCTTTCATGAGCCCAAGAAAAATGGTCTTGCATGAGCCTCTTTTTGGAACCTTATTTCTTCTGTAACTACTTGGTTAAGTTCACGAAAGGACTCTGTTCCTGGCCTCTCTTTGGCCAGTGCACAGACACCATCCACTCCTAAGGATCCTGTGACATAGCTGTAATTATCCTGAGGTTGATAGATGAGGAAACGCACTCAGAGAAGGTACACCTGTTCCCAAGGTCATATACGAGTCAATGAACTTGACCAAGCTTGCTGACCTGGCTAACCTGGCTCTTTCCACGACCCCACGCAGCCCTCACTAAGTAAATGCAAACATCACAAAGCCACACATCCAGTCACGGGAAGGACAGGGTCAATAGAGGTTCTGCAGCGTTTGGGGAGAAAATAACCCAGAAAAACAAAACCCTGAAAGGATCTTCTAACCTCAGTGCTGGATCTTTGGCTTCAGTGCTAGGCCAGCCACTTCAGGCCAGGAGTGTGTAAACACATTTTTCATGCAGAAAGCGTGGAGGCACTGGGCTATGCCAGACCAGGGAGAAAGCAAAAGCAGTGGGTCCCCTACCTCCTTCAAACTCTGTTTGGCAGTTCCCCGAGGTCTCATTCAGGCTCTCCTCCTCGTTGATGATGATGTTCTCAATATCCTTCATTGTTAAGTGGTCCCGGAAGGCGTGATAGAGAATGTGCTTCAACTCTTCCAGAGTTATCCTCTGCATGTCGAACTGTGGAGATAAAGAGGAACGAGATGCTTGTGGGCATGCGGGCATGAGAACTCAACTTGGGGCATGACTGGCAAGCCCCAAAGCTCCTCTATGGAAACTGGTCTCAGCTTTTCAGGATCGTAGGTGAGCAGCTGTCCATCATGTTCAACTCCAAGCATACTTGGGAACTTGCTGGGACTTAGTGGGAATACAGTGAGTGGAATATATCCTCCTCAATTTACTCTCGGAGACAAGGTGCATCTGCGGGTTTGCTTCCCTACCCCTCCAGCCTCTGCTGTCAACCCTCCAGAGCTCATGTACCTCAGCTGTGTCACACTTTACACAATGCATATGTTGCTAACATTGTTATCAATCTACTAAAAAACCCCAACCAACCAACCTCACCTTTTGCCGTCGAGTCAGCTTCGACGCATGGCGACCCCGTGTGTGTTACAGTAGAGCTGTGCTCCATGGGGTTTTCAATGGCTGATTTTTTAAAAGTAGATCACCAGGCCTTTCTTCCAAGGTTCCTCTGGGTGGACTCGAACCTCCAACCTTTCAGTTAGCAGGAGAGCTCTTAACCGTTTGTACCACCCAGGGACTCCTTATACATCTGCCAAGAAGTCAGCATTTCCCGTCTTATTTAAGTACGTATCTTGTTCTAACAAGAGAAAACATGAGTCCAGAGCCATTTTTGTGAGGACAGGCAGCTAAAGTGGAGGTGTAGAATTCCCAGTTATGTCCTGCTCCTCCTGATGAGGGAATTGTATGTTCCCACTCCATTTATGGAGCCCTGGTGGTGCAGTGGTTAAGAGCTTGGCTGCTAACCAAAAGGCTGGCAGTTCGAATCCACCAGCCATGCCTTGGAAACCCTATGGGGCAGTTCTACTCTGTCCTATAGGGTCACTGTGAGTCAGAATGGACTTGACAGCAATGGGGGTTGGTACTCCATTATATCAGGATTAGTCATGTGACTTTCTTGGCCAATGAAATGTGAGCATAAGTCATAGAAACCAGTTACCAAACCAGTTGCCATGGAGTTGACTGCAACTCATGGTGACCCCATGTGTGTCAGAGTAGAGCTGTGTTCCATAGGCTTCAATGGCTGATTTTTCAGAAGTAGACGATCAGGCCTTTCTTCCAAGGCACCTCTGGGTGAACTTGAACTGTCAGCCTTTTGGTTAGCAGCCGAGAACTTAACGGCACCACTCAGGGACCCCAGAAGTCACATAGCCACATCCAATTAAAAGCATTAACAGCCACAGTGTGGTTTATCATTTGTTCTTTTCCCTCTTGCACGAGAAGAGCTCGCCCCAGGTAGGGGCTGTCCCTTCAGCCTGGGTCTCATAAGGAAGATAACGTGAAGACCTGCCACCAACTCCTAAAGAACTAGTCATGTGAGTGAGAAGTAGCCTTATTGTCAGTACCATAGAGCTCGTGGATTGTTTGCTACCCCAGCAGAAGTCGGCCTAAGCCAGCAATACAGAAATTAGGACCATTACAAAAACCCCAAAAGATGCTGTATTGGTTCCAGGGCCAGGCAGTGGGGAATGAGAAAATGGTAATCGGATGATAAAAAGATAATGACCGTGTTATGCAATAGTAAAACATTTGGTAAACCTGTTGCCCACAATAATTTGAAGGACGGATGTATCATAGACAAGCGTTTGGCTTTAGATAAAAAGTTGCGGAAACAGCATGCTCTGGCTGCAACTGGTTGTATCTAACAAGAAGGAAATGAGCCCAAGAAAGAACTGGTTGGTGTATAAGCCAGGAATAAAGACAACCCAAAATGTTAGGTCTTTCAGGGCTGAAAGATGCAATTGTTTCTTATCACCAAGCAGCTGCCAAGAAATCAAATGACACATTGCATTGGGCAAATCTGCTGTAAAAGACCTCTTTACAGTGTCAAAAAGCAAAGATGTCACTTTAAAGACTAAGGTGCACCTGACCCAAGCCATGGTGTTTTCAATTGCATGCGAAAGTTGGGCAGTAAATAAGGAAGAAGGAAGAATTGATGCCTCTGAAGTATGGTGTTGGTGAAGAATACTGAACATACCATGGACCGCCAGAAGAATGAACAAATCTGTCTTGGAAGAAGTACAGCCAGAATGCTCCTTAGCAGCGAGGATGGTGAAACTTCTTCTCATATACTTTGGACATGTCATTAGGAGGGATCAGTCCCTGGAGAAGGGCACCATGCATGGTAGAGGATCAGTGAAAAAGAGGAAGACCCTCAACGGGATGGACTGACACAGCAGCTGCAGCAATGGGCTCAAGCATAACAACAATCATGAGGATGGCTCGGAACCGGGCAGAGTTTCATTCTGTTGTACATGGGGTCATTGTGAGCTGGAACTTAGTCGTCGGCACTTAACAACAACAGCAAGCAGTAAAAGATAAAATTGAGACGTGCTTTAAATAGCAGTACAGGCCTATTAAAACAAATCACAGTATCCCTTGTTAAAACCTCTGAATATGTGAAGTGACTCTCCCAGAAAGCTTGTTATTAAGTTTCAAGAGGCATGTCTCAAAAATAATTGTGGGTGTGGCTATTAGCAGAAACAGACTGGAATCCAATAGATGAAAACTAGGTTTCTGAGAGAGCTGTTGCTGCCCAAGAGCCGATATCCTTGGATTAAAAAACACTATGACTGTTGGACAACTGGGGAATCGCTTGACTCCATGGCACCTAACAACAATGACAACAACGTGACTGTTCAAAACTTAAAATGATCTCTGGGCTACCAGCCTTCTATGGGCAGAGGCAAGCCTTATAAACCAGGAGTCAAGAAGGACATATTTTCCAGTGGCTCATCAGAGGGTCCAAAGGGAGCAGTGGAGAAGAAAGGACCTCCCAAATGGTGAGGCTGAGAATCATGAAGAATAATGAGGAACACTTTCCAGGGAGCAGAATTAGGATCTAATCATTCTTCCAAAACCACAATGAGATATCACTTCACAGCCAGTAGGATGGCTATGATTAAAAAAATGGAAAACATCAGGTGTTGGTGAGGATGTGGAGAAACTGGAACCCTCATCCACTGCTGGTGGGAATGTAAAATGGTACAGCCACTGTGGAAAACAGTTTGCTGGTTCCTCATAAGAGCATCCATATGATCCAGAAATTCCACTCCTAGGTACATACCCAAAAGAACTGAAGGCAGGAATGCAAACAGATACTTCTACAGCAATATTTACTGCAGCATTATTCACAATAGCCAAAAGGTAGAAATAACTGAAATGTCCATCGACAGATGAATGGATAAACAAAATGTGGTAATTACTCACAGTGATTACTCAGCCACAGAGAGAAATGAAGTTCTGATACATGTTTTACAACCTTGAAAATATTATGCTGAGTGAAATAAGTCAGCCACAAAAGGACAAATATGGTATAATCCCACTTACATGAAATGTCTAGGAGAGGCAAGTATATAGAAACAAAGCCTATTAGTGATAACCAGGGGTGGGCGGGGGAGGGGGAAAGAGGACTCTGCTTGGGAGGATGATGGAAAAATTTGGGAATGGATAAGGACATGATGAACACAATGTCACTGAACTGTACATGTGAAGATTGTTGAAATGACAATTGTTTTGTTACATATAGTTTACCACAATTAAAAAAATATTTTTCACCCCACAGTCTGTCCAACAGGATTTCAGAATTGCTATTAACCCAACTGCTCTATTATTTTTTGCTTTCTGGATGGGACTGTCTCTATTCCCATCACTATATTTTGAGTGTCTGTGTGGCAAGGGGGAGAGGGGTAATTTGTTTTTTCAGTTCATATGTCTCCCAATCAAAAACAGTCATATACACGTGTCTATCATGAGATTCTGGATCTTGAGCCTCATGGTACAACTGGAGGGGACTTTTGGGGTGTCTCCCTCGGGGAGGGGATGAGAAGATGATCAAGAGTGTGAACTGTAGCAGGTTGTATTATTTCCTATTACTTGCTTCTCCTCCCTGTGAGAAGATTTATATCTCCCTGCCCATTGACATCAGGCCTTGACAATCAAAGGAGAGGGAAAGTGATGTACGTCTAACCCAAGGGAAGTTTCAGAGCCAGTACGTAATCTGCCATTTCTCTTCTCCTTCTGCCACAAAAGCACACCAAATAGGGGCTGTTCCGCCATCCTGGGCCCTGGAATGAATGTAACATGGAGCAGACCCACAACAATTGACAAAGGCCATGCACTTTGGGTGAGAAATAAATCCTGTTGTGGTTTTAAGATTTGGGGGTTTGCACAGCATACGTTAGCCAAGGATGAACGCAAAAATGAATGTTTTGGTGAGTCTGGACCATGAATGTCCTGGATGCTTTTCTTTTCCTGCTTTCTTTGTTAAGCAATTTCTAACCTTGTTTTAAGTTTGCACCTTGTTCTGACTAGTTAGGAGTCCCTGGGTGGTGCAAACGGGTAACATGCTCGGCTGCTATCCATAAGGTTGGAAGTTTGAGTCCACCCAGAGGCACCTCAGAAGAAGGGCCTTCTGAAAAATCTGTTATTGAAAACCCTGTGGAGTGCAGTTCTACTCTGACACATATGTGGTCGCCAAGCATCAGAATCAACCCCTTGGCAACCATTTTTTTTTTTCCTAATAAATTAAACTGAGTTACTAGAGAATCTAAGTGATTCAAGTTCAAAGTCACTTATATCAGTAAAAACAACTGAAGAGGAGGTGTAAAGTGAACTAGTTTTCTGCATTACAGTTTACTAACTGAAAGTGAATTCTGACATAACATTTTTTAAATGAGACTATCATTTAGTACAATCTCCCTTTAAATTTGATAGGAGAACATGTGGCTGTTAATCCGGGTGCAGGGAGCAGGCTGGCAAAATGCACGGTGAGGGTGAGGGACCTCTTAGATGAGAAAATTGGGACCTCCTGCCATGATCAGAGATGAAGAGTGACAAGCTCACAGAGAATGAGAAAATGAGTACCACGTCCTGGAAGACCAATCGTGGGGCCGGAGTGCCTGGGAAAACTCAGACCAGCTGAGAGTTTGCCGTCCTTC